TGTTATGTTTTGTATAACATGTGAGAAATTGTAAAATTACTTTATCAAAATATTGTTTAAGCTAAATTAACCGATTCTTTGCATCGACCGACTCCCTGTTTCAACCAGCTGTCATGTGAAACTAACTCTCTGTTTAAATCGACTTCTTGTTACATTTAAACCCATATCACAACACATATTATGTCCTGTCGTATACCTGTTACATTGCAACTTTGGACAACAGTCACTCTAGCACAGCCAAGCCGTTTCAATCAGTATCACAACCCAAAGATATTATACAACAAACTGGTACAGTGAGTACAAACCGACCCTTGTTTCAACCAACTCGTGTTTCAAATCGCAAAAACAAATTTGGATATTAAACTGCTGCAATTAACCGATACTTGTTGGAAACCATTTGTAAAATTAACCCTTAAAAAAAGTTCACAGTTAAGGTTGTATCGTACCTTTCACATTTTACCTGCTTTTTGTCAAGAGTTGTGTCCCTTATTTGTGTTAACGTTAAAATAATCTTTAAAAACTTACAGTACTTGCATTTGATTAATTAATCTATTTTTGTTCAATTTGTTATATATATATTTTTTTATTATAAATATGATTACATGTATGTAAGGTGTAATTCTTACTAAGTGACTAACTAGGCCGGGAAGGAGGTATATAAAGAGTATCAAAACTTTACACTATCGCCCTGTTGGCATATTATATAGTTTATAATGCAATACAACTAGAAGCACATGTCAATAATGATTTATCCGATAAAAATAAGCGTTGCGAAATCTTCATCAATTGTCATGCCAGTGAGCATGTAATGAACATATAATTCACGCACGACTACATGTACGCCCAATTTTGGCGCAGTGTCTTAATCAAAGATTATCGTGGTTAGAGATAAATAGATGCAGAGTATTTAGCACCAAATTTGACACATAAACATGGTTTCGCCATAATATCGTGTGCATTCAATTTCGAGGGATACGGGGAGGGAGGGGGGGGGGGGGGGAGGATAAAAGCTTTAGCCATTGCAAAATCCATTGGCTATTCTTCATAAAAATATGTATAAAATGAATCTGATTCTATGTAAACAGTGTATTTAACCCCGTATGCAGGAAGTGTAACTCTGCACACAGTTTGTAATAATCCTTGGTACATTACATCTTACCATGTCCACAGTACATATAACTCTAAAGACAGTTTATATAATTCTGTATACAATGCAATATATCCAATAAACCCTGTATATGTATAACCTTGTATACAGTGTATATAACCCTTAATACGATATCTATATATCGTTAACTCTGTATACATTATATATTACTCAGTATGTAATATCCGAACAAGCAGTATATAATTACCCTATAGATACAGTATATGTTTACAGTGTTCAAATGGACATTTAATCCTTTTTTATCACACAGTGTGATAAAAAAGGATTAAATGTCCATGTGAACACTGTATATAGTCTGTGTGTATATGTATACAGGCAGTGTCACTGTACACATATACACACTGACTATATACAGTATGTATATGTCCGTATACAGAATAATGGGACTAATACTAGTCGAATACACTGTATACATATACACACAGACTATATACGGTATGTATGTGTCCGTATACAGAATAATGGGACCAATACTAGTTAAATGCACTGTATACATATACACACAGACTATATACAGTATGTATGTGTCCGTATACAGAATGATGGGACCAATACTAGTTGAATGTACTGTATACATATATACACAGACTATATACAGTATGTATATGTCCGTATACAGAATGATGGGACCAATACTAGTTAAATGCACTGTATACATATATACACTGACTATATACGGTATGTATATGTCCGTATACAGAATGATGGGACCAATACTAGTTGAATGCACTGTATACATATACACACAGACTATATACAGTATGTATATGTCCGTATACAGAATCGTGGGACCAATACTAGTTAAATGTACTGTATACATATACACACAGACTATATACAGTATGTCTGTGTCCGTATACAGAATCATGGGACCAATACTAGTTAAATGCACTGTATACATATACATTTATTTAAAAGTGAAGTCATAATGCATATTCAAGATTGATGTTTTCAAATTGGCATCGATACTATAGATTTACTTCAACATTATGGAACCAGTTTCGTAATGTTAAAATTTTGAGATAAATAACACTACAAGAAAGTGCATCACAGATATCAATCTAAAGGTCAAATTACATACAAGTTATTTCCAAATGTGTTCACAGTCAAAATCTTGGTGTTATGTTTCATGTTTTATGTTTAAGATGACAAATTTCTTTAAATGTACAATGATTTCCGATAAAAATAAATGTTGCAATATCTTTACATTTTTAAGTTCCCTGTCACTGATTGATAAATCAAAATTGTCTATATTTTGTTTTTTATAACTTTATCAGTTCTTATATTTGTTTTTACAAACCTTTAAATGACAGACGTGTATTAGATTTGACGAAACGACAAAATATCTGTACTTTAAAAAGGCAGGACTGTCACCGAAGAAAAATAACCTTAACTGGAGGTATATCGAAATCAAAACGTCCCCTTCAAGTGTTTTTATTATCACCGCCAAACCGAACCCATGCTGCTCTCTCTCTCTCCCAGCCTCCAAAACAAATCCCCCACTCCCTCCCAGTCACATACCAATCGTCCTCACTCTCACAATCCTCTTCTCCCATCTCCCATCTATCACAGCCCAACATTCGTCCGTTTCTCTTTGCGTCCCAGACCAATCTTACCCTCTCTCAGTCCCACAACCATCTCCCTTTCTCCGAGTCCTGCACCAACCCTCCTCTCTATCTCAGTCCCACAACCATCATCCTCTCTCCCAGTCCAACAACCATTCCCCTCTCTCCCAGTCCCACATCCAACCCACTCCCTCCCAGTCCCACACCCAATCTCCTGTCTATCTCAGCCTCACAACCATCATCCTCTCTCCCAGTCCCCCAACCATCCCACTCTCTCCTAGTCCCACACCAATCTTCCCCTCTCCAAGTCCTTCAACTATCCCCCTCTCTCCCAATCCCCAAACCATCCCCTCTCTCGCAGTCCACCAACCATCCCCTCTCTCCCAGTCCCACAACCACCCCACTCTCTCTAAGTCCCGCACCCATCCTTCTCTCTATCTTAGTCCCACAACCACCCCCTCTCTCCCAGTCCCACAACTATCCCCACTCTCTCCCAGCCCCACACCCCTCCTCCTCTCCCTTTGAGCCCAACACCCATCTTCTTTCTCCAAGGCCAACAATCAGCCCCCGCGTTCGCCCAATGCAACACCCATACTCCTCTCTATCTCAGCCCAACACCCATACTCCCCTCTATCTCAGCCCAACACCCATACTCCCCTCTATCTCGGCCCCACACCAGCCCAACACCCATACTCCCCTCTGTCTCGGCCCCCACCCATACTCCCCTCTATCTCGGCCCCACATCCATGCTCCCCTCTATCTCGGGCCAACACCAGCCCAACACCCATACTTCCCTCTATCTCGGCCCACACCCATATTTCCCTCTATCTCGGCCCTACAACTATGCTTTCCTCTCTCCCAGTACCAACCCAGCCCCCTTTTTCCAAGCCCATACCCATCATCCCCTCTCTCCCAGCACCACTACCAATATTCTCTCTCTTAGCCCCTCACACTCACACCTCTCTCCAAGCCCTACAACCATCATCCCATCTCTGTTTGGTGTTGGGCTGCGAGAGAAAGGAGAATTGGTGAGAGACTGGGAAAGAGAAGGGTGTATGAGGGACTTGGAAAGAGCAGATGGGTGTTTGGCTAAGATAGAGGGGGGGGGGGGATGAGTACGAGGCTTGGAAAAAGAATATGGTTGGGGAGAAGCCAGGGGATGGGCTGAAGAGGCGAGGATGAGTATTGGACTGGGAGAGAGAGGATGCTAGTTGTGCGGAGCTGGGAGAGTATTGGTGTTGGGTTGGGTGGGAGAGGAGGATGGGTGTGGGGACAGAAGAGAGAGGAGGTTTGGTGTAGGGATGCGAAACGAAGAGAGGATGATGTGTGAGAGAAAGAAGATGAGTCCCACACCCATCATCCCTTCCTCTCTCTCAGCCCCAAACCCATCGTCTTGCTCCAAGACCCACCCTGATCCCCTCCTCTCTCCCAACACCACACCCACCCCGTTAGCCCCACATCAAGCTATACATGTATCTTAGTTACATTGTCAACCACCTAGAGGAGTTTTGGTAATCAATGTAAGGTAAGCAAGTTTTTTTAATATAAAATGATACACCAGATATGTGCGCTCAAATGGGGAAGTATTCGAATACACCCGACATTTCATATTTATAAGGACCTAGTTTGGTCATTAATACATTTTATGATATAATATGACCATCAATTCAAGCGTCAAACTTTATATCTGACGTCACACGTTCACTACAGCAGAGTATCACAACTGTGAATAAACAAACGGAAATTTAAATATGTGTTTCGGGTATTGTCACCATCGCTACTGCCTACCAGTACACTGCAGCAGTTCTATTTTGCTTTTAAAAATCCGGAGCTGAACATTTGACAGCTGATTTGTACTGTCACTACCGCTGAAGTTTTAAATATCAAGGCAGCTAAACATATCAAAGAGAAGGGACTATTTCACACTTAAATTTGCATTATCGGAGAGTGACACAAATCCATTTGCCAACGATCCGTCGATAAAGCCCTATGAATCCCAATGAATCCCGCCTATGCACTACCCTATATAATTAAACAGCAAGTGGGTAGTAATTTTACCGATGGAACAATTATGAATAGAGAAAGAACAAAACGGGAATCATCACCGATGTAGCCAACAGTATAAGTTCAATAAAGATACATATATAAAATACAACAGTTCATCGTTAAACGAAAGCGATCTGCCCGAATTGGTTTGATGACGTCACATGCTGTGGGAGTCCTCCTACTGCGAGTCACAGCGCATGTACAGTCCGTGCGCGCGCTAGTGATATCAATGTCATAGAGTATAAATTTTTGATAATCTAGATTCACTGAAGCAAAAATACATGTATATATGTTAACTCTCCCCCATTGTTGTCCTCTTGTACGTTACAGGGATACGCTGAGAGTGGAAACAAAAGCGCAACGTGCAGTTCTCGAGTGTCGGCGCCAAACATTAGAGTGATCTCTTGTGCCAATATATATAAAGGGCTGTTTTAACACAGCTGAAAGTTCAGCGAGCGTACCAGGAGCATCATTCCTCTGTTTTTAAGGATGGAATCATCTACACTGAACATGTTGTGGCATACGGTTTTACTTATCCTGATGGTGGCCGTTACCTGTAATGCCGGACGAGGTTTAGATATTGATGAAGCGCTGCAACAGGTAAGCACAATTTACTTTTACTTTTTTTCCTGGAGAAGAGCTCTTCGGATATTATTATTTTTTTAATATTTTAGTATGTGTTTTGAAATAGCAATGTTCATCGTATTGAAATAAAAAAGCGCATATGTATTATGGATTTTATATAGAATTTGGCGATATAACTTTTGCTCTATCTAAATTAATTTTGAAACAAAACTGATCAAGTTTTGCTTTAAAATTATTCGAACATCATGTGTTATCGATGCGTATGTAGAATTTCAATATACAAATATCTGCAGAGGTATGCCATGGACAAATTATTTGATGGTGAAACTATAGACCCTGGTAAAAATGTTACCAGTTGTTTGTTGGTATACATGTATATCATCTTTAATGAGTTTTTCTTTCAACAAAGGTCGATGAAAAGTCAAATTGACTATAGAACAATTTGTTTTTTGTCATTTCGATATCAACGGCGGTGGTTAGAAACCCCAGTTTACGTTGCAACGATACACGCAACAGTTTGCTCATTAGGGAGCAATGCGTTCGATTAACAATTGCCTCGCCGACTATACCGAAATCTTGAAATTGGTTGTTATCTGAAAAGATCATTCTCTTTATTTAGACTGTAAGTCAGCGCGATGATAAATGACGATAATTTAACATTAATATGGTTGGACTCACCGACACATTCAGATTAGAACCGAAATATTCAGGAATTAAAACAAAAAAATAATTAATCAATGAAATATGCTTTCGTCTATTTTTGTAAGTAGTGCCATTTTTGCATAATTTAAGAAATGGTAAGCTCACACAATTAAGACCATTTTGTGAAGAACAGTTAAAAAAAAAAAGGTGAAAATGCTTCTTACGGCGTTTATGATAAATCGTTCCGTAAGTTTAGAGGTTCTTTTTTTTAGAAATGCCTTTATTGTGTAATCACTGGATTAACTTTCCCGTCAAATATTTCCTTTTGAGAACAAGGAAACATAAAATTCAATTGAGGTTTTAGTTTCATTAAGTTTGAACAGGGTTTAAACACAATTATAACAAACATGTTGCTTTAAAAGTGCCAGAGGGGGGTCCTTACACAAGACATGTAAGACTTATTCAATTTTATACAGTGTAAATAAGATTTCTTTAATCGATCTATACGTTGAAGACATTGTGCCGAAGAAAAAATATCCCTTAAGACAAATAATGATTGCAAAATAACAGAGATATTTAAGATCTCTTAGTTAAATGAATGGCAATGATTTGTCGTGATACCAACATTGTCCTTGAGATAATTGAGTTCTTCGATTTATCAAAATTTACATAGAAATAATACTATTTCACCAAATTCGAGAAATCGGATTTCGATTTAGCCATATAACTGTATCTGAACTCCATTTCACTTAGGGTGAAGTGCAGGTTTCGTCAGTTATTCTGAACTCACGCATATCTGTCTCTTTATTCAGATCATAGTCCATACTATATATTTTTCAAATGTATCTAGTATATTCGATTTCCTTAAAACTTCCAAATTGTTTGTTTGCGGTTTCGCATCTTCCCAACTCATTTCAGACCATAGCACTTGTTTCTTTATTCGGAATTTGTTTTCTTGCAATGGCTAAGGCCATATGACGACGGTCCCAGATTCCACCAGTTGTTTGACAAGTTAATCAGCATCCTAATTTTACTAAGTTATCCGGACAACGCAGATTTTTGTGTTGTTGGTCCATTTAAACTCACTCGCAGACGACACATTAGTCAAATAGGTGCCAATGTCTCGAATACACGTGTACCTTCAAATGATTTGTGTCCAATGGTTTTCGTCAATGCGTTTCAATAAGCTTTCTTGTGTCGCTACGATTACATAAAAGCACAGGGACCCGGGAACCTGTTACAGCTCGCATGTTTGGACCTATCCTGGGCCGTTTTCGTTTGTCGCGGTCCAACCGGTTAAACCGGTTGGACCAGAGTTGCTCGTTTATGACATAAGGTCGGACCAAGTAATCTGATGCTGCTTTCAGGCGAGCCTTGCCAAAGCCTTTCTTACCGAAAGTTAATATAAGCCCTTAAAATGTCTAATTTTACTCTCTACACATCAGCTAATTATGTCCAAACATACCTACTGTAACAGATTATCGGGCCCTTGTGATGAAAACTGCTAAAGTATATAAACGTATATTATGGGGGTATGAACAAACAATTGATGACGTCAAGGGTTTAGCAATAAAACTTTCTAAATGAAAAAGCGAGGGTTTTCGTTACGGATCCATGATAGTGATTCGTGTTTTAGAAAGACCTTTCCGTAAAAATATCAAATCCAACATTTGTACCATTTTATAACACTATACAGATAAACGGCTTTGTTTTAAAGTCTATTTACAAGAAAACGACAATGTTCACATTTCCCGTAGTCCAAAGAACGAAGCAGTGGATTAATTATTCTGCTGATATCTGATGTAAAGGCCATGCTATCGTTATTGACTCTTCAAATGTTTATCATATATGGAATTCTTATTAATTATCAGTTGGTCAGCTGCGTGCATAGTGGTCAGCGATTCTTAATGTAGCTTGGTAAAATTGTATAACTGCCGTTAGGTTGCCACGTGACAGGTGTTCGCGTCGTAGCTTGGTATACAGTGTCTTATGTTCTTACTATAGTAAAACGAAAGATGATTTGCTCCTGTATGAATTATCACATAGATTCGACTATATACTTATACAAGACAGATCGAATGTAATTGCTAATAGAACTTCCATGCAAGCAGGCCGTATTTTATTGGGGGAGGTGGATTTTCTAAAACGGATGTAAAAAGATCATCAGGTAATCTTTAATGGAATGATTTCATTTCCTGTTAAAATTGCTATGCTCACTTTTCCACGAAAACCTTTTGAGTTTTAAAAGACGGACAGCTGGACGCTAAAGAGGTTTGTTTTAAGCTATTTGTCATTGTACGATCAACGAGTGTAATCCTTTGAAGTAACCTAACGGCTAACAGTACATAGGTATATCAAGTATTTGACCAATATGACGCTTGAAGAAATTCATTCAAGAGACATGTGCAATATCTAGCGCATGAGCGCAGGTCAGATGTCAATGTCGGGTACGAGCCCTGTATTTGGGTACGAATCCTGTGTTATCGCTGTGTGAAAGTCTCTAGTCGACATAACTACAATGTATTCTGTCGATTTTATGGGATATATTGACCAAAACAATTAAGTTGAAGAGCAAAAGCTATTAATAGACTTTATACTAAGAAGTTGATCATTCAAGACATTGACTTATTCACTTCGTCTTCAAATTCCTTCATCACATACCAAATAATTGTACCATGTGACAAGTCGTAACCCCATGTGGACAAGTCTTAACCCCTTATGTTATACGGAATATTTTATCTTATAACTCGACCGCATTTTTGTTCTGGAACTCATCTGTTGAAACGAATACGATTCCCAAATAGTTTTGCTTCTTCTAGAGCCATTTAATGCCATTGTAGCGTTATGATGTTATTACCACCTCGACGCTCTTCGTTGGCCATTTTTGTTTGTTTTGAATTTTCAGAAAGGAATTTTAACATTCATCCGGGGTGATCATGGGGAATGATTTGTAGGAACTATAGTCTACATAAAGACCGATTATATGAAAAAAAGCCTGACGTCATACATACATACATACATACATACATGTAGTACTCGTTTATTGCGCGGAGGTACACATCGAGTAGTGCGTTACGCGAGTTCGGAGGTGTATTAGTTTCCACAAAATCCTCATCCTATCTGCGACGTCAAATAAAGTCATATGTGTAGTACTGATGTGACATTGTCGTAGGGACTAAAACAATGAGTTAACACACAATCTTAAGGGGATGATGAGTAAGGTTATGGAGTAGCCCGAGTCTCTCATATGAAGTAAGGGTCCGAGCGACTAAAGCACTAAGCCACGGTATGAAGCTACCTCCCTTGAAACATTTTGAAATCGGAAAGATGATTTTTAAATATTTTAGAGTGCATATGACTTTTGAATATGTGCATTTTTTTTAAATATTTATTTGTTTTCTCGAGGCAACATTTCCAGGTTTTGTTTTGTCTGCAATACCAAAAATGGCTACTTAACTTGGATTGCATTTTGTCGTTCTTCATATTAAGACAGAAGCGCGGTAGGGGAATTACATTTCTTTTTAACTACATGCAAAACGACGCAAGGAAGCCTAGAACCATATTGATACTATTCATACACGATACTCCCCCAACCACCATGAATATGAAAGCCTTTATTTACCCTTGTTATTGAAGTATTTACAAGACTAACTAAACCGTATGACTTCATCGTGTCTGGTTCCTTTCGGATAATTGACACCCTGAACAAATTCGGCTAGGTAAATAGTTTGCACCACAAGAAATCGATGTAATTTACTTAAAATACCAGACCAAGTACTAAGATTTTTTTCCGGAATTATCGAAAAAGTTTAATTGGAATCGCAAATGGTATTTTTAGCGTCGACGAATTGAAAAAGAAGTGAATGTTTAAAAATTCCTTCTTGGCCCTTTACAAGGAAGACAGAGCGAGATAAACCTATGTGTGTCCCCTCCACACTCAAAAAGGGGTTGGAAGGGTGAACCCGTTTCTTATACCACAGTGTGGCATCTTTAGAAGGTTAAAATCTTACAACACATCAACAAAAATATCACAAATTCAATTAAACCGGAAATATAGTTAATGTAACGGTAGTTTATAGGTATTTCTTTACATCAATATGGCAAATTCGAAATATGTTTGTGTAAAAGAAAAAACGTGTGGTAGATGTTTAGGATTGAACTTGAAAAGAAAATGAATAACAGTGCTCCACTGGCCGAGTATCAATTCATTAACCATCATTGAATCTCTCGTATTTTATTATAAAGCTCTTAATTTCTCCGTAGCGCAAAATGCGTTTCTGACATACGGCGCTACCATTGAACGAAATTATTTCCTGACTATCCGACCTTGCTGCGAGTTTAAACCGCTGTAGATTTTTACTCAATGAAACGTT